GTTCGTCAACTACTGTACTGGTACTGTAAATAGGTCGCTTACAGCAATTTACTCGTTAATCCCGAAACCCCGCAACGCCGCGGGCAAACGACTTGATTTGGTCAAACTTTTGGTGACTATGCCCCGATAATATGATTCTTACTGACAGTAGTTTTACCCATCACTTCCTCATTTTGACTTGGAAGGACCTTGGGTGTTGGCCCCAGTCCACCGAAACCATGAAGTTGTAGTGATACTGCTGGTCCTTCCTAACGAGAAATTCGCATCGACCATTCGTCATTCAATGTCGACTTCAATAAGCACTAAGGAAAAATGCTAGTGAGTGTACTCGAGAGTGCGATGAACTGCTGACATGAGCACTAAGCTGATGGTGGTACGAGTTGTTTGAGTCGCTGGGAACTTGGTACTTCTGCATTTTTGAAGTCGATAAAAATGATCGTTGTGACCAATTAACTTAACGTTACTCCCTCCGTGTCACTAAAAGTGCGCGACCTAGAGGAGAGTTGACATGACTTCTCATTATATTCTCAAGACATTTTTGACAATCGAAATCGCCCTCTTGGGCTCAAAAGTAGTCGCTCTGATTGGACCATTCGAAAGCCAGTGCCAAAACCCCCGATTTGCTCCAACTTCGAGCGGGAAATTCAACGAAATGAAGGCGCTATGATGATTTCAATACATCAATAAAATACTTTATATAAAACAAACACTCATAATGACAAACATTCAGGTATGACCGTCAAAAAGCGCAACCTAACGAACAGCGAGCGCTAGGCCATACTCCGTGAAGTGCTGCTGCACAGCAACGGCAGCTACTTGGTCAGGCTTCTCAATGGCCTCAGTTAAACACTCGCAGCCAAGTACAACTGCCACGATGCGTGATTGGTCCTGAGACATGCATTTTGATTGTTATGATTGGACAATTGTATCGTTACACCTTTATAAATGCATGATCATTATAGGATCTTGGAGTGTTTTGTATTTTTATACGAGGAGGTATACTATATTTTTCTGAGTCGCGCACTTATAGTGACACGGAGGGAGTATATGGCAAAGAAACCATGATGCACTCTGATTGGTTAATAATCAGAAGTAAGGCCAGCCACCTTCGAATTCCACAAACAAGTCATTAACCAGAAAAAGCAAGGTGAAATAGGCAATTTTGTATGGAGCGCAAGGTGAACCACCTTGCGAATTCCATAAATACTTCTGAAATTGTATAGTTTCAATGAAATATATCTTCAAGTTTGTATTGATGATTTTTATTTTTCATGTGTCTGTCTCGTTTTGGAATTCGCAAGGCAGGTCACCTTGCGAATTCAAAATTGTCCAATTTTGTCCAATCAGATGCCGTGAAATCACGAAAATCGTTGCGTAGATTCATCACGCTGTGTTGCGATATATTCTACTCCTGTGATGACGGTTGATGCAAGAAGCCTTGAGATAATTGTGTAGGCTGTGTATGAGAGCAAGATCATGTGATGTGGTATTCAGGACTCGGTCAATTCTAACAGGTCTCGTTTCACCACTTGCCTACTAAACCAATGAAATTGGTCATCCCACATTCCACCATCCAGCCGTGTCGGTGCCGTACACATCCCTGCCGGTGTGATCACGTGGTTGTGCGGGCGGTGGCGCAAGACGTCTTGGTGGCACCCATCGCAAGTGCTGAAGTGGCGGCTTTAGCACTTTGCGTTTGCTGGGTGCTACCTAGACCTCATGCGCCACCGCGTTGGCCCACCAGAGCCACCACGACATTGCGACCCAACCGAGCGCACAACATAATGTTAGCTGTAAGGGGAGAATCACATTGGACATAGTCGGAGTGCACTCCTCAGGGCACAATTCTCTGGAGTAGCATCACACAAAGCTCTACTACAAAATTCAAAGTTCAAAATTGTAACGACTTTTGACAGTGTTATAGCCAATCGTGTGTAAGAAACAAGGTATGATGGACTCTGATTGGATATTAAAAAGGAGCAAGGTGGCTCACCTTGCGAATTCCATTAACAAGTCAACAAATCTGAATACCTTTCAGCCAAGACTGAAAACCGTTCAAACTAATAAACTCTTCCGTATACCTTATGGATCTGTAACCCCCGAAAGTGTCAGTAAAATCTGATCGAAATGGATACAACTCTATAAGGTGGTCTGATTTCTTTCCAATGCGTTTGGATTGGTCACTTCTACTACTTCGACTTGTTTGATTGGCTAGAACGAGATAATTGGAAATTTTTGACCAATATAAAGCGACCTGGGTACGGCCTTCCAAGGTACGACCAAATCGTTCTTTATTGACACCATACAGTACTGATCCATAAGGTATACGGTAGTTAGATGAGGCCTATTTTTTGTACTCTGGCCAATTCAACTCATACTAGGGGTTTAGCATTATACTTCGTAGTATGTGCACGTGGGGGTAGGACGAAGTCCCGGGGTTACAGGGTTACGGGAAGAAAATTTGCTTGAACGGTTTTCAGTCTTGTCGCTGAACGGTATCCAGATTTATTGAATGTTTTCCCATAGTTTCCGGGATATGGCAAATGGGCCAGTTGTGGAGTAGTATGTGACATGTTCTAGGTAGAAAGCAGGAGATCAGTGGAATTGAGACCGTGGTGTACAGTATCCCTGTGGTTTGTGGTGGTGAAGTGTTAATGCTGGCGAGATTGGATGCTATTACTGTGGTGCTTGAGATCTGTAACCAACATTTTCGTACCATGTCTGTCAACAATGTTAACCAGAACGTTAAAAATAGTTTATTGTTTCAAGTGCAAACATGCACAGAGTAATTCGCATCATTGGGTGTAACAGTAGCAATACTGTAGTTCACAGACAGCAAAGCAGCAGACCCGCCAACACGGCTAAGGCCATCTCCTTTAGGAGTTAGTAACTATTCATGTCAGTTAGCGCACACAGGCCATTGTTGCATTCATATCAAGCAACGCCTTTATCCTCTTTCAGAACTTGTTGCCCCATCTTAGGTCGGTGGTCTTGAGGAGGTTGTTCGGGTATGTATTGCGGTATAACATGTTTCTAAATTCGAGATGCAAACTGCATGCTATGTACCTTTCATACGCTGCAATCGTAAAGATCACACTTCTCACTGGTGTACAACCAGTAGGATCGGTTCCTTGGTAGGTCAACTCACCAAGTGACCATATCAAACACGCCTAGACCAAGCTTCGACAGCTACAACGCAGTTGGCACGGCCAAGTGTGCTGGCGTGGAATAGATAAAATAGTCGGTTAAAGGATGCTGCACCCGCCAAACTTTCGCGCCGTCTTCTTGGGGTTCTTGTGGTGCTGCAGCACGCACCGGATGCCTTCGTCAAACACCTGCTTGAGCCCCTTTTGGGTCAGCGCCGAGCACTCCAAGTACTTGAACGCGCCCAGCTCGTTCTTGAGAGCCTCGCCCTGCTCGGTCGTGATGGGTTTCACGCGCTTCTCTTTGAGTCGGTCGATGGTTTCTTCGTCGTCGCGCAGGTCCAGCTTGGTGCCCACGAGGATAAACGGCACGCCTGGCGCGTGGTGCTGGATCTCGGGGAACCACTTGGCCTTGACGTTCTCAAACGACGCGGGACTCACGACCGAAAAGCAGATCAGAAACACGTCCGTCTGCGGGTAGCTCAGCGGCCGCAGCCGGTCGTAGTCTTCTTGGCCCGCCGTGTCCCACAGCCCGAGGTTGATGGGCTTGGTGTCCACCATCACGTTGGCACTGTAGTTGTCAAACACGGTCGGGATGTACTCGCCCGGGAACGCGTTGGTCGTGTACGAGATGAGTACGCACGTTTTGCCCACGGCGCCGTCCCCCACCACCACGCACTTCATGTTGTGCATGTTGCTCTTGGTTTGTTGTTTGGAAATGCAAACACATCACACCCGCGATTGGGTATTTTTGGCTGCCCACCGTTGCCGTTGGCAGAGAAAGTCGTAACTGCCAAAGATCTGCCATTCATTGAGTACCACTAACGAGTAGTAAAAATACTGTACTTGGACTGATTGCATTTTACTACTGTACGTTAACTGCATGCAGGAGATGGATGACTTTGGAAATCAAAGTAGGTCCTTCCTGGAGAAGCGCAACCAAGTCTATGCTACCAAGCATGTCATATTAGCCACGGAACACAAGGAAATGTAACACGGATTTCAATAGCAGCACTACAATGACCCAAAATCATAAAAATAGAATGCCAATTCTCAGAGTTTTCATACTGTAGTTTTGCTTTACGAGTTGCGACGACGACTCTGAGGATATCATGGACACATTGGGAGAATACATATTGGAACGAGTTACGTCCAATTTGCCAACGAGTTGGAGGCACAGCTAAGCGTGTACTACATGTACCTATTAAATGTTAACGTTAGCCACATCCGTCGTCATCGACATTACTGGTATCGTGATGGTAGACATATAAATATGTCAAACGTCGTCGCATAATGGTGATACGAATTTCACGGCCCCGACAAATAGCGAAGCAAGCGCGTCTCGCCTTGTCGTAAGGTTGCATCCAATGCAGCTACAGTATAATAGTATTTTCACGAAAAGTACCTACAACAATGAGTACTTACTTCACCAACTAAAACGACTTTGTACAAGTTAACTACTGGTATCACCCAAGGGCAAGGTCGCCACGAGGACTTTGGCTTGGAATCGATCGGCGGCCACGACTATACTCGGCTCATTCAACGATATAATGCACGACCCCCCGACGAACGACGTTCCTCGCTCAACGCCAGTGCGGTTGGCGCAAATGAAATAGCAATGTTGCTGGCTTTTTGAGGCGGTGTTGATCACAGGCACGAGTCGGTTAGCCCAGTACCTACCCCAATCCGAACGCTAAATGTGTACAACAAGGCTTATACGAGGCCATACTGGATCGTTGGCAGGGGCGATGGGTTGGTTTCGAGGGGGCTGAAGTCGTTCCACGCACTGGAAAACAGAACGAGCGAACTCTTGGCGGTGACCACGCTCGAGGCAAACTCGTACGATTCATATGGTGCTGTAAAGTCACATGGGTTGATGTCCATGCAAATGCCTAGGCATGTTCGAAGGGTGTAGCGACACCCTTGAGCAAAAACCTTTGCAATTGTAAGCAACTTACCAAATGAGAGTTGTTGGGCGAGCCAAGGACAGTACCAATTACCAAAGCCAGAGCCTGCAGTGGCCCAAGACTTGTCTGTTTCGTACAAGAACGTCTAATATAGGTCAGTCTATGCCGACGTAGAGCCTACGTAGCACCTTTCGGTAGTTGAACACTACGGTGCCGTCTGGGCTTAGCACCATCATCGAATTGTACAAGTTGCCGTCGCTAGCCTTTTCAACGTAGCCACACGCCACAAGGCAGTGCAGGCGCGTGGCATGGCGTTGGCACCACTCAAATGTGGGTCCAGTGGAGGTTTCTTCTGCCAACGGTTCGACTTCGTCGCGGTCGCGGAAGCAATACCCAGTGAACACCATCTAATGAGGATATCCACGTGATGACGCCTATGGCTGGCAGGGTCCTCAATGCTGCTGTGTACCTCACTCAACATTAGAATGTGCAGACCATCTGCTTGCGTGAGATGGGCCAGCATACTTGCCACAGTCTCCATGTTTGCCTGGACTTGGTTGATTTGAGGCTCATACTGCACAATCGCAACCTTGATCGATGACGGTGCTGACTGTGCCATGAAATTATTCCAACGACGGCAAATGCTTGACTTACACTACTGTACTAGTAATGTTTGAAACGTTTTCCCATGCGTTTAAAACAGCAAGTAGTCCACATTACCTTATCTAGTACTAACTACTAATAATCTGATTCGTCTCAAATTCCCTGCGTGTATCACTCACTGTATGGTGCATTTCAACTAAAGACTACAAAAAAATGCCTTGACTTTCGACAGCTATTCCAACTTTGTATTGGTATTTTTTAGGAAAATAACCCGTAATAACGATAGAACTGGTCAAGACCAACAGAAGTTACGGTTCAAAATTTCGATTGGTGAAAAATTGATCGAGTAATAGAATTTAAACCAATCAGCCTTTTTGTATGGAAATATATGGAGCCAGGCACATTTTTAGATGAAATGCACCATACGACAATCTTGGTATAAAAACAGCGAAACGTTGTGTTATTTCAACCCCACAGCCGCAGCCTCCACGTCCTTCCAATGCACATGCGGGTAAATGCAATCTTCGACCATTTTATGCAGACTTTCCGCGACGAGCCCGCTTTTGCCCCCGCCGCGGACATGGGCAACGCGCACCAGTAGCTCCATAAACTCGACCAGCAACAAGCCCCGAGGCAATGACATCCCCGCGGTCGTGAGCTTGGGTCCGTGCGTTTGGTGCCATCTCGCGGCTGTGCACTTGGTAAACAGCGGCTCCACCTGAGGCGGTGTAAACCTACAGCGCAATGAAATTCTGTATAACGACAAGACGAAGTCCAAATGACTGAGAGCACCGTGTCGTGACAATGTGACAGCGTTCCAGCAACGCCACGAGCTGGGCATAATTCAGTTGATTTGACAGGAGCGGGTGTGTGCGGCCTAGTGCAATGTGGGGCGCCACCAACGGCACTTTGACCTTGGCAAACTGACTGAATATCCGCTTCAACACGCTGAAATGGGCACTCAAACAGCGGTTGAGCACGCCGATTTCCATGCGGTACTCGGGCCAGTCCATCGCAAACTCGTGCAAGTGCATTTTGCTGCACCAGTTGACTTTTTTCACGCTCGCAAACGGCAACAAAGCCTTGAACTTGTCGTTTTCGGCCTCGACGAGGTTGACTTGCACTTGCAACTCCCGCAAGCTCGACGACACTTGATGCGTCAACAGCTTTTGCTTGTCCACCGCTCCTTGCAACGCTTCGACGGTCCCCGCAGCAGCATGCAACGCGTGGGCTTGGGACAAGACTTGGGCGTGTAGCTCACTTTTTTCGCGTTCTAGCTGGGCCACTACTGCCGTCAAGCTGTCCACTTTGGCTTGGGACGCAGTGAGCGCTTCGCAAAACAACACGCGCTACGCATACGGATTCAGGTCCCGTAACGAAAAATCGAATGAACACGTAACGTTACTTCTCGATCCAGCCCCGCGGCGGCGGTGACAGCGCTGGCCTCGTGAACTGCCACCGCGCTCTCTAAGGTTGCGATTTGCCTGTCTTGGAGTTCAATGCGGCCCTCGAGGCATTTGATCTTGCGCTGCGCGTCGGCGTGCGCCGTGGACGTGTCCAGCTTGGCTTTGACTTGGTCCAATTCTACTTCCAACGCAGCGACTTGCTGTTTCAACTTGGCGGCTTCGTCCTGACATTCCGACGCGTGTCGCTCCGCAGCTTCGTATAGTTCCGTGCTTCCTTGCAAGCTGCGGGCAAACGCTTTGACTTGTTTTGTGACGGCATGCGTTGCCCCCCCCCGCCCCCCCTGGTTGTTGCCCTGATCCTCCCGAGTGGATAAGATTGTTGTTTCCGTCTAGATATCCAGTATTTTTCTCCCAGTTTGAACAGACAACTATGGGGATTTTGAAGGTCGTCGTGCCTGGAAGTCTACCAGCTGCACTTGGTCGCCATGCTGCCAGCTCACGCCCAGAATCGCCGTCAAGTACACTTCGTTGTCCTTGGTGTGGATCATGTATTCGGCAATGAGTTTACTGATCACGGGCGTGCTGGACGCCGATTGTTTGCGGTTCACGTGGTGGATGAGCAACAACGTCGTGCGTTTGATCGATTCCACCATCAAGCTGTTTTCTACAATGTATCCCAGTTTTAGCCAGAGTCCACCACAACCATCCATTTGCCATTCATCACGAGAATATACAAGAATACTAGTATACATGAAGTAGCATACCTGCTTCCAAGATTTCAATGGGCTCCTTGGTGATATCGACGTCGTTACTCCCGTCGCCGTTGTCATGGGGCTGTTCCTTGTAATTCGATGTGAGCTCCGCGACCACGACGTGGCAGTCCCCTACGTTGCGCACCTGCACATGTCGTCACCTTTAGCGTCAACTAATAGTTTGACATAGTACCAGCGTGTAGATGCTGATGTATCGCACGCGCTTGGCGGGTGGGACGAAGGCTTGGATGCAAAACGGATGGACAGCATTCGTCTGCCCTGGACAGGCCGTTTCCAGTTCTTTTAGCAGCACGAGTAGCGCGTGCCGCGTCAGCACCCGCAAGCGCCCGTCGTCAAACTTGGCCACGGCCACAGGCCAATGGATGTTCTTGTTGTCGTGGGTAGCCACATAATCGGGGGAGTGTCGCCCACCACACAGTGCCTCTCGCACATGCTTCCACGTGCAATGTGCCGGGTGCTTCTTGAGCACATACCCGTCCTTGTTGGTGTGATACCATGCAGTAGGTTCCGACTGGCGACCCACAATCACCGTGCTATAAACGTCCATGAAGTTGAGAGGTCAACAAGCAGGGACATAAGTATACATGTCACGTTAGGTAGACGTATGTAGGTACACCTTGGGATGTGCGCTCGAAAACGATGCATTTTCAAGTGGTGTACGGAATGATACAACGGTGACGTGTCGTCTGCCAGGAGCGCGAGCAGCGTCAGCACCGGCGTGTGTACATCCACAGGCCCGACCTTCTCCAAACTCGACGTCCCCGGCCGAAACCGGTACATGCCGAGCGTGATTTTGTTGGTTTTGGCCCGGTGGTGTGATGCCACGGCGGACGATGGACGCGCCGACTGCGGCCGCGTGGCCATGAACGTCATGGCGACGGCAAACACGACTTCAGCTTGTCGGTTATACGTAGCAGTTTCACGAACCTGGACTCTGGACGAAACCGTTTCGGGCTCAAAGTCGGCTACCGCGATTACCAGTATGTAGTACAGTACAGTAGTAGGCATTTGGCTTGGAGATGGTCTACTGTACACTGTACACCATTGTCAGGGGAGGCATCAGTCGGTAACTTCGCGCTTTAGTTGCAAGACCTGTCTGTCGGCCATCGAATGTAGACGTACTATCGGTACTGGTGCATTATCGATCGATTTCGAAGAAGCTTAGCCGCTCAAGGGCAATGATGATTGATATAAATACGAAATATATAGACACGCTTATCGATGTGTTCGTTATTCAAACGATTGATGCGATAGGTCGTGGAGGTGAAACGACTCGAACCGCTCGACTTGGGCTTCGTCGTGGATGGTCAAGTCTTCAAACCAGCCCCAGTCATCGCCCTCGTCCAGGGCATTCGCTGCCGCGTCGTCGGTCGTGGTGGAGATTTGGCCAATTAGATGCATGGCTTGCATTTGTTTGGGCAAGTCGACAGAGTCCACTGGATGCAAGAGCAAGAGAGACGCCGACGACTTTGTTGGTTGCATGTTGGTGCTTGAGCGCAAATTGAATTGTGCATTAACGTTACTGGTAAGTTAGTTGCAAGGAGCTGCGTCTGGGGTGCCCGTTTGATTGGTCGAGGTGGCTGTGCACAAAGACAATCGATTGGTCGATGGATTCAGATTCGTCCACGATGTCCAACGAACCTTGGCATGGGACAACGTTCGGAGGACATCTTGGACGACTTCTGAAACGGATCATCGACATGCACAAACCTCTACAGAAACAATCACTCCACGCTCGCGAATAGCCATCATCGACGTCATGGCGAGGTCGGTCGTGACAGCGTGATAACACTCGTATGTCGCGGCTATGCTCGTTCTGAGAGTCCAGTTGGTGACAAGGAACCGGCACAGATGACGTACTCAGAGTATGTAGGTTCCACAAGCTTGTTGTGAATTCTTCATAACGTTTCGTCGCCTAGAATGTTAACTTTGAAGACTAATCTCCTACTACAGTAGTACAGTATTCCGGAGTACTAGTACTTCACAACACAACAACACTATCAATCTCCTACTAACGTTACTAGTATTACTACATATTACTATTAATAGCACTTAAAAACTTGCAAGGACAGTGCCTAATTAACCCAAGCACACTTGATATCAATCGACAATAAACCTGCCAAGATCGATTCGAAATGCAAGGTTTGAGCCGTCCATCATGCTGGTGGCCTTGCCACGTCACCTCGATCATACGATACCAGGTACGGAAACTGTGCTGATCAAAGCAATCAACCAATCAGCTTGCCGCGACTCTAATTTTTACTACCGGTACGTAGTATTGTGCACACTCGTCGAAAACGGAAATGGTCATCGCAGCCAATCAGCGACGAGGTATGACCGCATCAAAAATCGATGGAGTGGTGTTGATTGGCTATAAATCAACCAATCATACATTGGGTAGTCAAGATTCATTTATCTCGACGCTTTTCATTTATCACAAGAGTAACAGCATTTTGAACGCACCAATCACAGGTGTCCAAGTCGCCACCGACTGCAAAACACATCAGCCATCGTCATGCACGTGGCATACCCGGTTCTGGGGGTGGGGCAGGCCAAGCACCTGATTGCAATCTGCGGGGGAGGCGGGTCTGCCAAGACGGGAGTCAAGAACACCGTCGATGTCTACTCGATGCCATCTCGCGGAGTGCCATATCGACTTCTCGGTAGCGCCGACACGGGGAGCGAACTGCCGTCATCGGTTGCCATCTCGTCGGACGGGTCGTGGCTGGCTGTGAGTGTGAATGCAGCGTGCTGGGTCTACGAAGTTCTTGCCAAGGCAGCGTCGACGGATTCCGACACTCCCGACGCTGCCCCCGCACTCGAGCTGGTGCTTCGAGTGAAGTTCCGCACAGACTTCTGCGCCATCGACAGCAGCCAGACGTGCGCATGCTTTGTCGGTCCGCGCACGTTGGTTACCGGGGGCGAAGACTCGGTGGTACGTCCATACCTGTAGCCATGTCTGTTGACCCTCACCATCTCTCAGATCCGCATCTGGACGATCTCCCACTCGCCTTCTTCAAACCCGACGACTCCCACGACCGCTGCTTCTCTCATTGCCGGACCTCCGCCGGCCAAGGATGACGACGCCGAGCCAGTCCCTGTCGTCACGCCTGTTGTTGGCGACCAAGCATTCCACGACACCACCGTAGTCACCCTCGCCAACGAATATCGCGGTACTTCCTTCAACTCCTCCTCGATCGAATCACATCCCTCGTAGGACATACAAAGCGCATCAAGCAGATCCACGTCGACCCATTCAGCCGGAACGCGGTCGTGACGTCGGACGAAGGCGCCACTTGCCACCTCTGGCGCATCGATGACCCGTGCGCCGCCGCCTTCTTCACGACCACCGCGCCAGACACACTCCGCGACCATGTGCTTCCAAACAACCCACCAACCACTAAAGGACCGTTTAAGCACCAGTTCCGATGCGTACGCTTTTCCCCTACCGGCCAAGCGCTGTACACGGTGCTGTCGCCCCCCCGAGGCGACGCGTACCTGTTGAAGTGGGTACCCACGACGCTCGCACAGGAAGATGCCACGTCATGGCCGTGGCGAGTGGCGGCGGTGGCGCTGGCGGGCCCCGAGCCGGTGGGCAGCTTAACCGTGAGCGACGACGGCGCCGTGGTAAGATTTATTGACTGACTGCATGCTATATATTGTATTTTTTTCATTGGGCGATAATTAGTGTGAGAATCTAGGCGGTGTCGCTTTTATATAGTGTGCGTTGTGGACTATTGTGTGTCCTTTTACCCAAAACGTGGACTTTGGTATTGTGAATTCGCTATAAACGTCCAAAATTCGCGTGGTTTGTCTAATCCAACTTAAATCACGCTGGAGTTGTGATTGGTTGAATATACTTGTCCTTCTGTAAGAGCCAATCAAATCCACTCAAAGGATTAGCCAATCGCGTCGATTCGATTCCGTGATGGGGTCTGGAAATTTGTACCGAATCGTCCACAATATTTGATTCGCCAAATCTATATCGATCGGTTGTTTGTACTGCATTTGTTGCATGTAAAAAATATCCTGTGGGGCTTGGAATCACACTACTTGAAGTCATACACTAATTATAGATGTGGATGATGGCAATCTGATTGGCTAAATCGTTCTGCCGATGCTTCTGTCATACATTCAGTCATTCTCCATGTCGGCTCCAGTGTCGAATATAACAATATATGCAGGTGGTGACAGCAACAGCGTCTGGAGACCTCTACTCTTTCGACGCGGCCAACTTAACCCGCGGGAGCCCAAGCAGTCCCGAAGCCCATACTTTTGCTATCACTGGCTTGGCGTGTCAAGCTGTGGTACCTGGCTCCTTGTATCGGCTGTGTTCGGCTGGAGCTGACAAGCGGCTTCTGGTGCATCGCGTCGAGTTGTCGAGTGAGTTGTTTTTTTCCCCTCGGTTTAAGGACTTTGCACTCGATTGAGGATAATTCGAAAAATTCGAGTCCGTTTGCACTGGTGGTCAAAGTATATTGCGATTGACGCCGGTTGTTGTATAATGTATTTATATATATTTGTGTTGAGAGATTGAACGTGGTATATGTTGTTTGTGTTGTTCGCCTAACAAGATATATCTCCGTGTTAGCCAATCATCTTGCAACCTATATTATGTTTTCGCCAATCCTACTGCTTTGTTCAATGTGTTGATGTTGACGATTTCAACAATCCCCGAAAATCCACAATATATACTCGTGTAAAGAAGTAAATTTTGTCCTTTTACCCAAAATGTGGACTTTTGTGCGGATTCTTTGCCAAATCTATACCGATCGATTCTTACTTTGTACTGACGTTTGTATGTAAAGTTCGTTGTGTGTCACACTACTTTCAGTCACATACTAATTCGATGGTGAAACAGTGGATTTGATTGGCCACTGGATTCGTGTTCTGTGTTTTGATTGGCCGATATATCGATTGCCTGCCGAGTTGGTTAATGTGCTCCACCCCACTCCAATTACATCGAATTCGACTTATAATACTAATAGTTACTGTATGTGGGTTGTTTGAGTAGCGGCCAAAGGCGGGGGGTTAACCTGGGCGACCACGTTTTGGGCGTTATTTTGGAGTGTTTTCGTGGGTAGCATTGTCGCATGGACGGGTCTCGTGTACTTTCACGTGTCGCAGGCAGGGTTGCTGGTCAACCACCCGTTCCAGGGGGTCGAGGTACGATTAGTTGCTTAGTTAGTTACTCTGATAGTAGGTGAATAGGCCATCTTGGCGTCCAAGTTTGAATCGAACGACGCTATGGCCACCGTGATGGCCGGCCTCGTGGGGTTGCTAGCGACGTTGCTCAGCTGGGTGCTGTGTTTGAACTCCCGAGCCCTCCACGGAGTGTTTTGGATCGGTCTGGCGCTGCTTGTGCTCAGCGGCGTGTCCTTGTGGGTGGCCGCCACAGACGAATTGCATGTGAAGTGGGTAGATGGAGTCGACTTGGTCGAGTACAAGGCGTGCATCGTGTCGGCGGTGGCCGGCGTCGGGTTTTTGCTGCTGCACTCGATCGGGCTCATGGTGTTGTGAGTGTTTATATTGTCCGATCAGCCACAATTTGGACTTATAAGAGCATCTCGAACCGGGATCCGTCTATCTACTACTAGTATGCTGACTTGCCAAATCCATCGATCGAGTTTTTGTTGGTACAACTGAAATGATTAATGGGATGCCCATCACACTAGTTAAAGTATCACGCTAATTAAAGTATCATACTAATTAAAGTATCACACTAATTAGGTTTTGGTTCCTGGAATCTGATTGGCTAAATTCTTCTGCCGACATTTGGTTGTGTCGATACATTCGGCACATCGTTCCAGTTTAGAATAGACACAACAATATGAGTAGAAATATTAATATCACACGTCATATATAACTGACGAGTACTACAATGGTACATGACTTTGACATCGAATATCTCTCTGACGACTTGTCTACGAGCGGTGTACCTAATGAATGTAGACATTGCAAACTTAGCTGCAGGCTATCGTTCAAAGCTAGAAATATGGTTAACTCACAGTCAGTAGCATGGGCGATGAGTCCTCAAAGTAGCAAAAAAACGCAAATATAACATACTTTGAAAGTAAATACTAATAGCTCGTAGCGACCTCTATGATACGTCATTAAGTATGTAGAAATAGTATGGACTTACCAGTTCGAAACACGGGTGAAACAATATGCCGGTTATAAACAGGGATCACGAAATAACCTGTTTCGTAAAGCCAAAATATGCAATTTTCATGTACTTGAATTATATATACTTCTGAAAGTATGTCGACATGTTTTGGTTTTACGAAACATGCATATCCGGCAGATAAGGCTACATTTGCAGTACTAACTAGTACCGTTGTCCGTACCGCGATAACAACAAGGCAACTTGCTCTCAAAAACAGGAAGCTGTCTCCACCATCCAGTACAATACTACCGGTGACGTTAGTTGAGTTATGGCAATGAGATGCTACTGTGTGCTTGGAACACGTCCTGTTGACTGCTACTGTATGTAATACTTACTATATACTGTATGTAGCTGTGTACGGTGCAATACAAAGTCAATATGGACTAAAGGGCATAGTCGAGCGGTTCACGTTAGCGTGTTATACGAACTGGTGCAGAGGCCAGGTGCAGTTCATCACAGGCTCGCTCGACGGACAAAGGGCTGTTGCGCCACAGGGATAGGTTCCAGCCTAGTTGCAGCTGACTTGAAGGGGGGTGGCCAAAGGATGAGGGGAGCGGCGTCGCAAGCAGGGGAGAACATGGCAAGTTGAGTAACAAATTGAAAGTGTGGTCGTTTGTCGTCGAGAATACAACAGAGTTTCGTATTCGATGCGATGAGTATTCAGTGATGACATTGAACTTGTTGCAAACGCAATCTCGACGTCTCTTGAAAGTCTCTATGTGAGCTTGGAAGAGATTCACGACGAGTGGTGCATGGCACTGGGAAGGTAGGTTCGTTCCCGCTTTATAACAAATGAGAAGCTAGGAGGTTCGAGTCGAATGAGTGCTTCGCGGTAGGCGAAGTTGGGTAGACTTGTTGTGGGAGTTTCTATGACTACTGACGAGTTATACCACGCAGAGAGACGCTATTCCACGACTATGTACTATAAAGCCTGATGTTCGTGCAATACAAGTCAATATGGACTAAAGGGTCTCGCACCAGTGTGTTCAAACAATTGGTGAGATGTACCAGTTGGGCGTGGAAAGTGGCTTGCCACTGGAATATGTGTCTGTTATGGGATAGAGCAGAAGGCTAAAGACAAGAGGCGACTAGTAAGTAATGGGGTTTAGTTGAAGAGCTAGTCGTTAAGGTCTTAATTCACTTTGAATTCCTACATCGCCGTACAACCTGCCGTAGGCAACCTGTGGTGGTGAGGGGTTCGGGCACTTCCCACGACGGTTGCGAAAGGTGCTGCCGGCGTGCGGTTGCGTTGGCAAAGGGCCTCGGGGAGAGCACGACGGGGGTCACGGGCGGGAGACGGAGCGTCACCGGAAGCGGCGGCGGGGGCGATGACTTGGCGTTGTTGTTGCGATCAAAGCTACAGGGATACTTGTGAGATGAGGATACAGTCGTGTGGACTCTGCGCATACAAATCATTGAGAATGCCGTATGAGAGCAAAGGGGACGTACAAGTCGCCTACATCCAGAACGAAGGGCTTGACGTCGGCGAAGAACACTTCCACAGCTGCTTTGGACCTACGTAAGCGAGCTGTCGTGACTTTGAAGAGAATCGGATGTCGAAGTTACGGTGGGGGTGCCATCACGATGGATGCTCTCCTACAACCGTGTGGATTATGTCACTCAACATTTGAGTGATCCATTTGAGTCTCAAATAGATCAATTAGGGAGATTTCGCAGGAGTAATCCGTGTCCATTTCCGTAATTATTACCCTCAGTATTTACAGTTAGTACAATCACGGAAACTCATGAAACTTTATAACAGTTAGCGGAATCCGTGAAAAGAGCAGCTAACGTTAACGTTATCACGGAATCGGATACACGTAGTCATAAGAAATACTATTAGTAGAGGTTATCCGAACAGGAGGGCTTCCATTCGGTGGTTTCGTGTGCTATGAGCATGTGGGCAAGCGAGGATGACTTGGCGCTGTTGATACAGGCCAACCACGAGCGACCAATCCTCCAAAGTCTAGTCATGAAGTCTTGGGGGGTGCTCGCGTGCAACTTGCTTAAAGTTCCTGGCTTCTCTTGCCAGGAACTCGAAGTTGACGGCAAGAAAATATCGCAGAGGTTCCACCTGACACTCGTCAACCACGAAAATTTCCAGTACCAGTAGGAGTATGCGTATTTGTATGGTGTCGACCGACGGTACCAGTGCGAGCAGAAGTCTGCGACGACGGGCAGGCCTCGCGAAGCGTTTGTTCTTCCACAAACAGCATTGCAAAGTAGCTGGTTCCTTATATTTATCGGACGCGGAAATCTATTTAACTGTAAGTAACCAAATGCTTGACCGCTTCCTGACTTATCCGGATATTTGTGATATCGATGTCAATAATGCATATTTTAAGACACAAATCCAATACAATTTTTCAATGAAGTAAAATAGATCGTGCTAGTACTTACTTACTACAGAGAATTTCAAACTACTAGATGAAATCCAATTATGGCGAATACCATTTGTAGATCCCGAATGTCCTTGTAGAATGGACGATTAATCAGCAGGCACAGACGTTTGAATGATGAAATTGCGCCAGCATATTCTTCACAGCACAGGGTTCTGAGATCCATGTTGCAATTCGCATCGAATGCTGATTTGAACCTATGATGGGGAGTCCAAAACAACGAATTCGTAGTTTTTTGCTCTGAATGCTTGTTTTGGATGTCAGATTCAACAGCCGACATCCATCTACATTTCAAAGTATTTATATATAGCAGTATGCTGATATTGTGGTCTAACTAAATCCATTCAAATCAGAGCGGATGGGTTACTATTAGCGGCGATATCCTCGCTCAAAGACCGCAAATTATGAATTCGGTGAAGATTCGAATATTTGTGAATCGTCATGAATGTTTATAACGTTAGTATGTTGCTATTAATAGTATAAGTATTGTGATTTTCACATATTTTGCCCGTTGTTTTAGCTCCTAAAATCATCCAAAGTTTAACCTAAACTGAAGTTGCACTCGACGTAAAAGTAAGCTTCCCCACCGTTCTGTCATTGGCTGATCTAAAACTTGCGTTGTTTTACTAAAACTACTTCGTTTTATTAACTCCCGTGGCCAAGCAGTCATGCAGAGTAATGACCTACTGGGGTAAA